CCGAGCTCCCCGCGCGCCCCCGACCCCGACCCCGCGGCCCGAGCGCGCCCACCTGAGCCCTTTGGCGCCCACCTGAGCCCGGACGCCGGCACCATGGCGGAGCAGGAGAGCCTGGAGTTCGGCAAGGCGGACTTCGTGCTGATGGACACCGTCTCCATGCCCGAGTTCATGGCCAACCTCCGGCTCAGGTGAGGGCGGAGCGGCCGTGCGCGGTGGCGCGAGCCGGCGTTTTCCCGAAAGGGGGCGCCCCTGCGGTGCGGCCGGATTGGGGGGTGTCAGGGGCGCGCCGAGCTGGAGGGATGGAGTACGGCCGGAACGGGGTATCCCCGGCTCTTGAGAAAGGACGCCTTGGGGCGCGGCCGCATCGGGGTGTCAGAGGCGTGCCGGGTTCAAGGGCTGCGCCTTCCTGAGAGGGGGGTGTCCGTGGGTGCAGTCCGGACGCGGGGTGGGGGGGATGGAAGGAGTGTGCGGCGCTGGAGGCAGCGACTGGGGCAGGGCAGGCTTGTGCGCTCCCCCAGGTAAGTGATGTGGGCGGGCCGGGTGACCTAATGGAAACAAAAGTAAAGGAAAAAAAAAACTTCAGGGAGAGTAGTAGCAGTCCCGAAGTCCTGGGAAGACTGGAGGGTTATTTTGGAGAGAAACTAGGGTCTCATCCCGGTTTCACACTTGCTTCTTTTCTTTTTCTCTCCTTTTTTTTTTTTTCCTGGCTTGTCTCCATCACGTCATTCAGGATGCTAAGGAGTGATCCCTGAGCTGTCTGTTCCGGGACACAGGCTATTTTTTAGTTACTCTCTAAACGTAATTAGACACGTTTCCAGACATCGAAGAGACTGCTCGGCTTGCCAGTGCCAAGATAAACTGTCTGAATTTGACAAGGCATCCATGGTTTCAGTTTTTTCAAGGAGTTATGGATGGAGCCCTTGTGTTATTGACATCCTTGAAAATGTCACAACTCAACGCCCCCAAATGGGCTTCCAAGACGAATTTTTTTTTTAGAAAGTCTTCTACATGTGGTTATTTCTCTCTTGATAGAGTAATATGTAAACAGCTTTAAAGTAGTTTTACTTTTTAAAAATATTACAGTAAGTGGAGTCTCAAAATAACTGAGTTTTATTTGGGGGGGGGTGTTTCCTGGAAGTTCTAGACCCATTTCTTATAAGGTTTATAGCTAAAGGTCATGCCATAAGCTTATAAAGTGAAAACCAGAATCTAGTTTTCGGTGCTTACCTAACCCCGCTTCTCAATATTAATTACCCCGGTTAACCTTAATTTAAATTTTAAAAACTCTCTTAAGCTTTGAAATGGCAAACCCTGTAGAGTGTTCATCTGTTCCCCGCCAGACTTCCCTATGTCCCAGAGGATGGAGCAGGGGCAAAGACCTGATTTTCTGCATCTAAGTATCACAAACACATCTCAGCCAGTGTGCCTGGGTTTCCTAATTTGTAAAACAATGAGGATCTTCAAGGTTTCTCAAAGCTTACATTCTCTTTTGCTTTCACTTATCCTTGGTTGCAGAGTCTCTAAATGTGAGGTTTGCATCTTAAGCAAGATTGTTAATGTGAGCCAAACTTAACTTCCTATGGGCACAGAAGAGAGCTTTGCAATTTAACTTTACATTATGCAAGGATCTCTAGGAGGTAAGGTGGAAGGCTCCACAGAACTGTAAATGTGCTCCCTACCTCCCAAAGAGGGGGCATGACAGTGAAGACAGGGAGAAAAGTGAACATGTCTATTGATGTAAATAATAGGTCAAGAAAACAAGAGTTGAGCCTTATGGAGCTTAGGTGATTCATTGCCAAATAATTGTACAAACTAATTGTTCTGGAAGTGCAGAGAGGGAGTGATGCCTTAGGCTGGCTTAATACACCATATAGAGGAGTAGAGGCATTGAGATGAGTTGTAAAGGGTGGGTAGGGTGCGTCCAGGTGGATAAAGTGGTGGGGGCAGAGGTGTGGAGGCATGAGAGCTGACTCTGTGTGGCTGATAATTCACTAAAAAATTAAGTTGTCTGGAGGGAAAAGAGTTGTGGGAGGAATCCCCAGGTCTCACTAGCACAACCTTTGGGTATTGCCCAGGTTTCCAGGTCTACCTTGACCCCAGTCTCCCAGTCAGTTAAGATTTAAGATTCTGGATGTTCAGATGTGCGTATGTATGCATATGCGTCTCATTGGCGTGAGTCCTTGACAACTCTTAGAATTGGCTGCAATTCTCCTTGTACAGATTCAGTGATTGTTCATGTCTTCCTTATAAGTGGGGAGTAGTTTGTTCCCGGTAGCCATAAACGCAGTCCCAGCAAAGGGTAACAGTGCCCTTGCCCTCCTCTCCTGCTGTAAACCGGAAGACCCAGATGGAAAGCAGTCCTCTCTCTGGTAGTTTGAATATTCTGTCACTCCAGTATCCCTCCAGACTATTTTAGTGTTTAGCTGCATGAGCTACCGGGCTCAGGCTGTTGTGACCCTGGGGCGTTTGATTTACTTTGAAGAAAGTGACCAGAAACTCACTGCAGAGCCAAGTGTTTTCATCTCCTGGAACATGGGTGGTTAGGCCCTACCGGCTGCACATTGATGGTTAGGCCCTACTGGCTGCACATTGATGGTTGTATATAGGCGGCATTGGAGTGTATTGCATCTCTCAGTGTGTGTGTGTGTGTGTGTGTGTGTGTGTGTGTGTGTGTGTGTGTGTGTGTGTGTGTGACTGTGTGCGTGCGTGTGCCACTGCCCTATCATTCCTGCCTTCCCCGAGCTGCGGCTGCTCCTCTCACTCCATCTGGAATGTCCTCTGCTCTCCACCTGGCTCTTCTGCAAGGCCCTCTTCCTGCGTTTATGGTCTGTGACGTACAATTAGGCATTTAAGGCTACAGTTGTTCCAGGGGTCTGTGTCACCCAAACTTGATTTTAATTTTTCTGACGGCAGCACCCAGCATAATGCTGGTCACGTGGTACATTCTTCATGACAATATTTTCTTTTTTTTTTTTGTAGAGAGAGAAAAAAAATGTTTCAGTTACTTTTTTTGAAGTTTTTATGGCATTGTCCATTTAGAATTAATCTTATTTTGCTAGTATGCTGGCTTTCTTTTCACCTCTTGGAGCGAAAGCTTGATTTTTTAGACATCTGTTGCAATTGACTTAGCTTCCTCCTTACTGTATTTTAAAATTGAAGTAGGTTTGTGTCTGAGCATGTGAGTCTGGATAAGACAAGATTAAAGGGGTGATGTGGATTCTAGTGTGTTAGGGCCTATATCTGAGAAGTTTCCGTTTTTATATTTTACTCTCATCCCCCAGGCTGCTAGTTTATTGGGGGCTGCCTTCTTTCTCTCCTAGAAGCCTCTTGCTCGGGGGGGAGATTTATTCTATTTATTTGTTTTTATTTTTGGTGGAGGTGGAGGTGCTGATGGTTTGGGCTGTGGTGGTAAGCTCCTCACTCCACTTTCAAGGATCTGCGCCCAGGAGTAAGATTCCTGCACAGGTACCTCCTGCCTTTGTGGTCAGGCCTGGCTCCTGCCAATAACCCTGATGACCACTTGAAGCCCTGACCGCAGCCTCCCCACCATAGTCTGCTTTCTTTGTAGCCACTTCCTTTTTTGGACCTGGAGCCTCTGGTTCCTTTTCTCCTTGCTTGGGCGATTCCTGTGTGCGAGTTCTTCCAGCATTCACATGCGCTTTGCAGATCTCTGGAAGTGAGCGTCCTGCCAGGGTGAGCTGCATGGGTCAGCTGGTCCTCCCTGCGTTCCTTAGCCACCCATGTGAAAGAAAGCGTGCAGGCCGCTGCTCTGGAGTGGGCACTAGCCGGGGACAGCATCCCTGAGAGACGGGCTTTTCCTTTCATGGGACCACGAAATAACACCTGAGGCTTCCAGGAGCCCAGTTTCCTCACTTTGTCGTTGGTGGATTCTGCTTTTAGAGCAGCGGGTCTCAACCTTCCTAATGCCGCGACCCTTTAATACAGTTCCTCATGTTGTGGTGACCCCCCAACCATAAAATTATTTTCGTTGCTACTCTATAACTGTAATTTTGCTACTGTTATGGATCGTAATGTAAATATCTGATATGCAGGATGTATTTTCATTGTTACAAATTGAACATAATTAAAGCACAGTGATTAATCACAAAAACAATACATAATTATATATTGTGAAATATTTATTTCTAATTACAAATAAATGAAGTTTTGTCTTGAAGCATGGAGACGGATAGAGGAGGGGTGTCTCGGTTCCTAAGACCATCGAAAATACGTGTTTTCCGATGGTCTTAGGCGTCCCCTGTGAAAGGGCCGTTTGACCCCCAAAGGGGTCATGACCCACAGGTTGAGAACCTCTGTTTTAGAGTAAGGGGTCGGCTCAGCCTTCTAACTTGGCCTCTTGGAAATTTCATTTTTCCTCCCCTCTTATCTCTGGCTTTTTGCTTCCGTAAAAGTAGTCATTGGAAGCACTCCATTTGCCAAGGCTACTGGCACCTTCTCACTTTTAACCTAACACAACGTGTATTTTATACCTTTGCTTAGACCAGGCCTTCTTAACCTTGGCACTGTTGACCTTTTGGGCTGGATAATGCTTTATTGCAGGGACTGTCCTGTGCATTGTAAGACGATTGTGCATTGTAGCAGCATCCCTGGCCTCTATCTCCCCCGCCCGCCCCAGACTCCCCCAGGAGCCAGTAGCACCACTCCCCTCCCATTTATGACAGCCAGAATGTCTCCAGATCTCCAGATATTGCCAAATATCCCCTGGGGGAGGGGACAGAATTGTCCCCATTTGAGAACCACAGGCCTACGCTGTTCTCACTCTCTTGGAATGTTTTCCTTCTTCCTTCATCTCTGCCTTCATTCCCTGCCTGTCACACTCTTACTCATCCTTTGAAACTAGTTCAGAGAAGTCTTTCCCCATCCTCCAAGTCAGGGGTATTTGCACTCTCACCTGTACTCCCAGGAGATATGGACACTTGGTCGTACTGTTAGAACTTATCATATTGTTGTTATCTGCATACCTGCCTCCCCATCAATTTGTGAGACCTCCAAAGACAGAGAACCCGTCCAGAGGTGGATCCAGGTTTTGTGGTCCTTTGAAACTCATGACAGTTGGGGGCAGGGAAAAAGAATATAAATTATGAATGCAAAATGAGATACAGGGCTTTGGAAGGGGACAGTGCATGTGCGTGGCCGTGATGCGGGTCCTTATGTGTTTTCTATCCTG